CATTTGTTTCATGATCTCATTAACGATAGCCAAATGGGGGCCGCTTTAAGGCCAAAAATGCATTGAAATCGCACATTTTCACCATTCCGGACCCATATCTCAGTTATGCATGGATGGATTTTGTTCAAATTTGGTACATACATTAAACATAATAGGACCTTGATGCACGTCTTTTTTTTTTTTCGGATCAAGTTCGAAATGGCCGACTGGCGGCCATTTTGTTAAAGAATTCAGTTCTGGATCCGTATCCAAGACATGTCTGGATTGATCAAGTTCAAACTTCACACACACATGGTACATCATGTCACAAATAGATATGTGCATTTGTTTCATGATCTGCTTAACAATAGCGGAATGATGGCCATTTTAAGGCCGAAAATGCATCAAAATCACGTATTTTCACAATTCCAGAACCGGATCTCAGTCATGCATGGATGGATTTTGTTCAGATTTAGCACAATGTGTTGTACATATGCAGGTGCATTTCGGTCATGATCTGCTTTGAATGTATATGTCACTCAAATATGAACGGAACGGGGACGTGTCATTGACAATGACTTGTTCATTATCAGTTTTCTACTCATCGTGATATCAATTCACTTTTGCTGTTTCTTATATAATTATAATACAAATTAATACCTCGGCCCATCGCAACACCAGATGTCCAGAACATACCTTTGTAGGTTCTTTATTGATGACATTTCATTTCACATTAATTATTAATACCTTGCAGATTGAAGTAATTTTTCACAAGCCTACCTAATAATGAAAATTACAGAAAAACCTCTGCAGATTTTGAATGATCCTTTACTTAATATGCACTGAATCCCTTGAATAATGTACAGTACATGTCTGCCAGAAACTTGCTATTTTGTGTTTACCGGGGTATTATGTTTTTGATAGGTACAACATCCAGCAGCTAAAATGGTAGTTCTAGCATCACAGCAGATGGAGCAGGAAATTGGTGACGGGACAAACTTCGTAATTGTCTTTGCCGGTGCTCTCCTAAACAGTGCAGAAGAAATTCTGCGTATGGGATTGTCGCCCACAGAAGTTATTGAAGGCTATGAAAAGGCACTCAAGAAGGCATTAGAAATTTTACCTGAATTATCGTGTGGGTCAATAAAAGATATAACTGACAAGGAGGATGTAACCAGAGTGATAAAATCTTCTATTATGAGTAAACAGTATGGTAATGAAGATTTCTTTGCAAAACTTGTGACAGAAGCTTGCAGTAAGTATATATTAACCTGGAAAAGGTGCTAAATTATATCTAGTGGCAGGATGGGAGTTTCCCTATGGTGCTTGCGAAGTCTATTAGAATCACCATATTCTCAGGACAAGCTATGTCACAAAATTCATTGTTTGGATGCACACCACTGTGCTATGTATTTATATGGGCTCTGCACAAGCTACTGTGAAACTATTGTTGATGAGCCAGTGAAAACAGCTAAAGTTGAAGAAAGAGCACAAACCCAACTTTGAGGTAATCCTGAACAACCAAATGGATACATCTTGCACAAGTAAGAGTAGTCTTGTTCAAAGTAGAGTTTTTGGCCTTTGTTTTTATCAATGATGGTTGCCAGACAGTGAAAATGCTTGGATGTTTGCTCCAGAAAATTGGGTGATAAAAGTTTTAAAATATTTCTGTTCCATGTGAACAAGTCTGTTATACTGCAATACCGTTGTGTCCATTCAGTCTATTTTAGACTTGTAACTTTTCTATCGATTTTCACTAGTTTAGTACAAAGTGTTAACATACACACTAGTACTAGACTACTCTATATAGAATGGTCACCTCTGTGTGTTTTAAGCTGAAGTAATCATGGCAAATATAACTAAGAATGAGAACTCAATAGACCAATGAGGCTGCCAGTACCATTACTAGTTACCAGGTTCTTGTGGCTTGGTACACCTTGAGGCTGGAACCTCCACAATACAGCAGCACTTCAGCACTACATATTGCATCTGAATGTTGCTGATGAAACGTCACTCTGAACTACATCATTTCTACAGTACTATCCTAACTATCTGGTGTTTTTTTTTTTTTACAGTGTCTGTCTATTCAAACAAGAAAGTTGTTTTCAATGTAGATAATGTACGAGTCACAAAGATATTGGTAAGTTATATTTGTATTTATTGAATTCAGTTGAACGTTTTTTCTCGCATGCATGTGTAAAAACAATCCCTTCCACAAAAGTATTTAAATTTAAAACAATGAATAATAAATGCATTTACACTATGTTGATATGTACAAGTGTATGCATTTTCCTGAAAATATTCTTGAACCAAAACATGTCTCCTATTAAATAACAGACCCCTTAGACTAGCAAAAATTAATAACTATCACTAAGAAATCGGCTTTCAATTTCACCAATATTGTTCATATTTTAGTTTAACATTTTTTTTATCACAGGCAGAATAATTGTATCTAAGTTTTAATGCATTTACATTATGTAGCAAAATTTGCTGGATGGGTTACAAAGCTGAAAAGGCCATTGAGTTGTGATGTGTCACTAATTTAGGGAACACAATTTTATTGAATTCATGTTTTTATCTTTCAGGGTTCTGGTGTTTTGAGTTCATCTGTTCTTCAAGGCATGGTGTTCAAAAGAAATGTTGAAGGAAACATCACTAAAGTCAGCAATGCTAAGGTTGCATGTTATACATGTCCCATAGATTACATGCAAACTGAAACGAAAGTAAGACGAGCAGATTTATCTTTTCCCCACCAGTCTCTCGCTCAAATTTTTCTGCATTTTTTCCTTATATTCTTCAATATTTCTGCAAATGAATCCCAATTTTTTGAGCCAACAGAAAAAATTAAGTCAATTTTCAGTTTTCACTCAAACAATTTTTGTTCCAGTCTTTTGAAAGAAAGTGCAGACTGTAAACAGGACTGTTTTGTGGATTTGTTATGAAATTGGGGAATTGGGGATGAAAAGGTTAATGAGATATTAAGAGAATATTTTGCTGACAAGAAAAGTGTGCTTTAGTGACTACCCTCTACACTTGGGTACCACAATGTCCTTATTAGGCCAAAAAAAAAATTGTTTTGTAGCCCTCAGCCAAAAAATGTGAAATATCAGGTCATGTTTTTTTTAATAGGCCCAAATATTAAAAACTCACTATTTTAAGCAGTAAAAAGTTTCCTCTAAAATTTACTTTGAACCTCGGGTTGATCTGTATTTAAATACAAAAGACTGAAAGAAACACTTTGATTTTTGTGTTTAACATCTAGCATGTGCTTTAATTGAACCTTTGCTACTTACGATACCCTTAGTTTTCATAAGTGTTAAAAAAAAAAAAAAAAAAACTCTGACCGACCAACCTGCTCCAACAGAATGGATTTTGTAGGGATCTTGAGTCAAAATAAAATCCCAAAAATCAAGTCGGGTCAGCTTGGTAACTTCTGAGGTCTACCAGAAAAATGCCAAGTTTGTATGTGACTATAGGAGTCTTCGAAAAGCTGCCAACAAAAATGTTGTGGTCCCTGATTTCCTTAGTTTTTACACTTTATTTATATAATTTGAATTTTTTGAAAAATTTCTCATTTATAGTAAAATATTCAATGTAACTTTTTCAATGTATAATTTTCAATGGAATCAGAAACACACAAAGGATATGAGCAGAACTCGAGGGTTTCGCTAAGAACCGTATGCCCCGCTATAAGCTTAAATTGGCTGTCTACTCTCTGCTCTCTTGACAGTCTACGCCGGTCTCGCTGCAGCACTTCGCACTGCTGAGAACCTTTTTATTTTATTTTTGGCCTGTTACAGGATGATGGCCTGCTATTCAATGCATTTGTTGAAACCCCCGAGAACAACCTTTCCAAAATATCTTGTCAGTGGTGCATCATGTGTTGACATAGAGGGCGCTCTCATCTACCATAAAGTTACACTTGAACTGTACCATATTTGTACAGACATACATATCTTGCAGTACCTAGAGTTATAAATTTAACTACATATTTCTATTTCTAGGGTACTGTACTGATAAAATCTGCTGAGGAGTTGAAATCTTTCAGTAAAGGAGAAGAAAGTCAACTTGAACAGGTATATTATTATATATACAAAAATTTTATCTCAATTCTGGGGAAATCCCCATTTGTAATTTTAAAAATTTGATCTCAATCCTAGAGAAATCCCCATTTGGAATTTTAAAAATTTGATCTCAATCCTAGAGAAATCCCCATTTGGAATTTTAAAAATTTGATCTCAATCCTGGAAAAATCCCCATTTGGAATTTTAAAAATTTGATCTCAATCCTGGAGAAATCCCCATTTGGAATTTTAAAAATTTGATCTCAATCCTAGGGAAATCCCGATTTGGAATTCTAAAAATTTGATCTCAATCCTGGGGAAATCCTCATTTGAAATTTTTAAAATTTGATCTCAATCCTGGGGAAATCCTCATTTGGAATTTCTAAAATTTGATCTCAATCCTGGGGAAATCTCCATTTGGAATTTCAATGTACAAGCTATCTTTTGACATAAGAAATTCATCATGTGATAGTTTTGAATTGGGAATCTCAATTGCATGTATTTGAATCAATGTTGTTCCACAAATTTTGGTTTTCGGATTTGTAGCAAATCAAGATTATTTATGTAGACTGCACTTGTGGTATCGCATATGCAACCCCATCTATATCAAAATTTTGAGAAAATTTCTTTAACAATTTTGATTTTCTTATTTATAGCAAATCAAGGCCATTGCTGATTCTGGCTGTACAGTTGTGGTATCTGGTGGGAAAGTTGGCGATATGGCATTACATTTTCTGAACAAGTACAACATCATGGTAGTGAGGCTGTTATCTAAATGGGATCTCCGTCGACTATGTAAAACCATCAACGCGACTGCCCTACCTCGTATCACCCCACCAACTACCCATGAGAGTGGTCACTGTGATCAAGTAATGGTGGCTGAGATTGGGGATACCTCAGTGGTGATCTTTAAACAGGAAAAAGAGGAGAGTGCCATCTCAACTGTGGTTATACGAGGTTCTACAGATAATCTAATGGACGATGTGGAGAAAGCGGTAGATGATGGTGTTAATACATTCAGAGCTCTGACCAGGGTATGTCTGATTAACTTTTTAATGTTTGCCTTTTTCATGTTTTACTACCCTTAGATGCTCACCGGATCTCACCAATTTTTTTTAATCATTTCGGCCAAAGTTCCAGAGTTGTTCCTGTTAAATTTACTGTTTTACACTCAAAATATTATACATGTACTAGTTTCATTTTGTACCAAATGTCCTAGGTTAATGTTGAAACTGAATCCCCATGGTATATCAAACTTTGCCCCATTGCTGAATTCTGTTAAGGAAGTGAAAAAGTATTTTCTAACAGCAGTACAAGGGTTCTTTGGTTCTATGTGGAGTAGGGGGTATCAAATTATCATTCTGTTTTTTCTTATTAGGATAACCGTTATCTTCCCGGTGCTGGTGCCACAGAGATAGAATTAGCAAAGAGGCTGACTGAATATGGTGATAGCTGTCCAGGTATAGAGCAGTATGCTATTAAGAAGTTTGCTGAAGCATTGGAAGATATCCCTCGCACATTAGCTGAGAATGCCGGAGTGAAAGCCACTGAAGTTCTCTCAAAGCTCTATGCTGCTCACCAAGAAGGCAAACAAAATGTTGGATTTGATATCGAGGTACGTTTTTCTAATATTAACAATCACAGTGTGTTTTAGGTTTATATATAGAAGATTATGGAAGAAATCTGTATACCATAAGAGTTTAAAAATGGTGCACTTCTGATCAGTGGGTGGTGGCATTTTGTTTATATCGCAAATTATGTGAAGCGAAACAGCGCAATCATAATAAAACATCATCAGAATGTTGATCAATGATAAGGCAGTCGTTTTTTTGACAACAGACTAAAAAAAAAATTTCAATTTCTACAGTATTTTGATCAGCAGCAAAATATGAATCTTGTCGTGGTGCCATTTTGAATCCTCATCAACTCGTCTGTCAACTAATAACTTGACTCTTACAGTTCACTGGCTTCAGCCTTCTGTGGTTACGTCAGTTTTTATTTTTAATAAATCAATAAACTTGCTTGACTGAACTCGAAAATGAAGTCTGAGACTGAGCAAGCCACAAGACTTGCTTTAGTCCCTCAAATAGTGTTCGTTTCTCTCCCACCACTTCAACTGATCCGATTACAGAGACTTTGGAGTTATACTTAAGCAAATTCAACTCAGTTTGTTTTATAGTATTCCTTGCATAGAAAATAAAAAAAAAAATAGAATAAATAGAAAATTTTTAAATTGTTTGTTGAAAAATCACAAATTTTGTTTTCTCAAAAAAGTTAAAGAGTTTAATAATTTTGCAATGTTGATGTTCTCATTGTCAATTTGGCCATACTTGTATCTGTCAAAAATTTACAATTTCATGTAGCTTCCTCTTAAGCATCATATCCTTTCTCTCATTGACAGGGTGAGGGCTCTGCTGTTAAAGATATTGTACAAGATGGTGTATTGGATCCATATTTAACAAAATACTGGTCCTTAAAGTTGGCTGGTACTGCAGCAGTAACAGTTCTGAGAGTAGACCAGGTATGTCAACCAATGCTATTACAATGTCCTTGCACTTATAAGTAAACGGGTCATATATTGAGTTCACCAAGCTAATCAATTGATTAACCTTACATTTTCTCATGTTCAATGCTTTCACTGAACTTTCTTGCTACGTAGTGAATGAATACTTGTACCAAACTGACCTCCTACAGTTAGCATGCATATTTGTGTCAGTTTTTGTTTGCCGACAATTCATTCCACCTTTGGTCAGTGTATGTTAAACCCTCAGAAACTAGGGTCATACTGTTATGGAAAGATATTTCTGGCATGTACAACCAGCGATCGCTATTGTGTGTCAAAATAAGAACTGCAACTCTATTGTCTTTGTCAAACTTAGGTAGCCATACTGGTGCAGTCAGTTCTGTCAATCACGTTTCCAAAGACAACTAAAAAAAGTTTATAAACAAGATGAATCCTTTGCAACAGTGAATGTATGTTTGAATGCAAAAGAAACCTACAAAGGGGTTAAACTAGTTGTCTTTGTGTGCAAGAAATTGTTTCGTAATCATAACAAATTGAAGCACAGTTAATGCTGTAAAACATGTTGAAAAAGCGGCATGCTAATTTAGCCAATTGTGGTAAAATGACGTAATAACGAAATGATTTAGCGAATCTCTCTTGTCATTGTTGATTTCTTTGGAGGCCATTTTGAATTTATAAGAATGTCATTAGCGACATCTTGAATTAGCGAATCAGTTCTCTCGCTAAATTCGCGAAAAAGACATGCTCACGAGAAAGACATGTTTTACAGTAAATGCAAGTTTAATGTATATTGTTTAAGTACATTAACATAACTAGCTTAACCTTTTCACCACCAGTTCCTGTTTATAGTCATCTGCACTTTCCTTCAGACGATTGAGACAAAAATAGCAACATTTTTATGAGTAAAAAATGAAAATGTACACAAGTTTTGTCTATTGTCTTCAAAATTAGGGTTCATTTCCAGAAATATTGAATAATATTAGAAAAAAAAGCGCAATTTGGGTGAGAAAGTCTGGTGGTGAAAAGGTTAACAAAATCTAATGTGTGAAACTTGTTTACTTGAAACGTATTGTGCAGTTTTTCTATGTGAATGTACATTTGATGCTACCTAAGTAAATGTTTTCATGACAAAAAAACACTTTAAATCAATGTATTTTAAACCAAAATGAATTAAATTGCAAGGATTGCTTCTCGGACTGCCCAATATCAGTGAGAAACCTGGACATCTAAGAAAAATTCACCAAAATGAAGCTGAGAGAACACTGAAGATGTATTTTGATTGCCCCGACTTTTGGTTTTGTGTCGAATTGCAACGTATTCATGATTGTATGTTGTGTTTCAGATTATCATGGCGAAAGCAGCTGGTGGACCCAAAGCTCCCAAACCAGGACCCATGGATGCAGACGATGATTAGGAAAAGAATCAAAACAATTTATTCCATTATTGTAATTTGTGAATCTAATAATTGTGAACTCCTAAATGTCTTCGCTCTGCTTTTATTATGAATGTTAATTTATGAGTTGCATAGCTTCAATATTGTCAAATTAAAAGATTATTACTGTAATGAGTATGGAAACTTTGTTACTGTAATGATCGATACTTTATTACTGTAATGAGTATGGACACTTCGTTACTGTAATGAGTATGGACACTTTGTTACAGTAATGAGTATGGACACTTCGTTACAGTAATGAGTATGGACACTTCATTACTGTAATGAGTATGGACACTTCATTACTGTAATGAGTATGGACACTTCATTACTGTGATGTGTAATGGACACTTCATTACTGTGATGTGTAATGTACACTTCATTACTGTGATGTGTATGGACACTTCATTACTGTGAT